AAAAGAATCAATACCTAGAAATCCACAAAAATGATTCTGACATCTCAAAATCGAATTTTGGAAAAGCTAAAGACAAAGAAAAAATCTCTCACTGCTTTGAGAGATAAATGACACCATATTTACAAGGGAAAACAATTTAAATTTCCCATCAAAAGATCTCAGAAGCCAGGGGCCAGAGAGACAGTACAAAGGTTAAGGTGCTTGCCTACATGGCGAGCCCCTACTTGAACCCAAACACCACAGATGGTCCCTTCTTGAGCACCCTTTAGCACAGAGCCAAGAATAGGTCCCAGCACTGTCAGGTGTGACTCCACAAACCCAAACCCTATCCCCTAAGATGAAAAATGAACAGAGAATTGCTCATCCTTTGAAACAGTATTTCTGGGATAGAGACAAAATATAGCCAGTAGGGAGCTTGCCTTGCACCCAACTAACCCAGGTTCAATACCTGGCACCCCATGTGGTTCCCCAAACCCAGGAGAAATTCCTGAGTGCAAACCCTGAGCACCACTGGGCATGGCCCAAAAAAACAGAATAATTTAATAAGATAATGTTCTTCAACATGTTTACACCTGTGATCTTTATTTAGCTGTCCTGCATACAGGCCAATGAACCAGCTTTACAACCAAGACAAGCAGTTTCCAGCCTTTCTAGAGCTGCTGACCAGCACCAATCTTGGAATATCAGTAAGAATAACCCTTAAAAAAGAGTGAAAATTAGTAAATTCAAGACACTTGTGTTGATTAAATTATATTTAATAGTTTAAGCAAAAAAAAAAAAACAGTATGGACGATTCTCAAAAAATTAGAAATTGAGCTCCCATTTGACCCAACAATACCACTCCTAGGAATATATCCCAGAGTGGCAAAAAAGTATAGTCGAAGTGACATCTGCTCTTGTTTGTTCATTGCAGCACTCTTTACAATAGCCAGAATCTGGAAAAAACCTGAGTGCCCGAGAACAGATGACTGGTTAAAGAAACTTTGGTACTTCTACACAATGGAGTACTATGTAGCTGTTAGAAAAGATGAAGTCATGAAATTTACATACAAGTGGTTCTACATGGAAAGTATCATGCTAAGCAAAATGAGTCAGAAAGAGAGGGACAGACATAGAAAGATTGCATTCATCTGGGGAATATAAAGTAACATATTGGGAGACTAACACCCAAGAATAGCCAAGATAAGTACCAGAAGGTTCACTCCATGGCTTGGAGGCCAGCCACACATACTAGGGAAAAATGCAGCTCAGATAGAGAAGGGAGCACCAGATAAAGGGTGTTGGGAGGATACTCCCAGGATGGGAGAAGCATGTTGAAAGTAGACTATAGACCGAACATGATTGCCACTCAATGCAAACCACAGCACCCAAAAGGAGAGAGAGAACAAAAGGGAATGCCCTGCCACAGAGGAAGGGTGGGATGGGGGAGGTGGGGGGTGGGAGGGATACTGGGGTCCATGGTGGTGGAAAATGGGCACTGGTGGAGGGATGGGTACTTGATCATTGTATAACTGAAACCCAAGCACAAAAATTTGTAAGTCTACAGATGTACCTCATGGTGTTTCACTAATAAAAATTATTTTTTTAAAAAAAACCAATAACACACACACACACACAGGCTAAAGTGGCAATTCAAAGGTTGGAGCACATGTTTTGCATGCATAAGTTGCAGGCCTGGTCCCTGGCACCACATGGTTCTCACAAGCACTGCTGGAAGTGACCTCCAAGTACCATACCAGTAATGATCTTCTGAACACCACCGAGTATGACCTCCCCAAAAAACAAATTGTAAAACTGATTTAATATTCAATATAGGGGCTGGAGCGATAGCACAGCAGGTAGGGTGTTTGCTTTGCACACAGTCGACCCGGGTTCAATTCCCAGCATCCCATATGGTCCCTGAGTACTGCCAGGAGTAATTCATGAGTGCAGAGCCAGGACCCTGCGCATCACTGGTGTGACCGCCCCCCCCCCCCAAAATTTTAATATAGGCAGCAGAAAAGTTTAAAGAAATATTATTGTAGTCTCTCAAATAAGAGATGACAAGGGGATTTTGATGCTTTGAGAGAGAAGGGTGTGACTGAACAGGCTTGGTGCAGGCAAGACAGATCTTTGAGGTAATGAGAACATTTTTGTATGTTAATCTCAGTAGTGGTTGTGCAAGTCTACACATTTGATAAAATGGCACTAAACCTACTGTATCAGTGCCCATTTCGAGGAGGGGTTGTGAATGTTGTACTACAGTTATACAAGTTGCATTCATTCATGGAAGTTTTCTGAAGAGTATGAGGGTTCTTCCTGTGCTATGCAGGCAACTTATGTGGGCTCTATCATTATGGGCTGGAGCGATAGCACAGCGGTAGGGCGTTTGCCTTGCACGCAGCCAACATGGCTGACCTGAGTTCGATTCCTCCGCCCCTCTCGGAGAGCCCGCAAGCTACCGGGAGTATCTCGCCCACACGGCAGAGCCTCACAAACCACTGGTGATGTATTCGATATGCCAAACACAGTAACAACAAAATCTCCAATGGAGATGTTACTGGGCCCGCTCGGGCCTTCTAAATAGAAAGTAAATTTAAAATAAAAAGAAAGAAACTATGATTTTTAAAAAGCAATATCTAATAAGTGAAAGCAAAATGTCTAAATCCAAATGTGTTAGCTGAGTTGTGAGACAATCATACAGAGGATCTATGTCACATGATCTTAACACACAGTGACTTGCCTCCACATCCTTAACAGGAAATCTCCTAAGGACAAAAAAGAATTGCAGAAAGAGAGAGCGAACATCTTAAATTGGCTTACAGTAATCTTATTGTTGGTAATCTCATTGTTATTCTGATACTGTTATGTGTATATAGTGGAATGAAGCAAGTAAGTAATTATGTCAGTATTATTAAGAGCCAGGAGTTCTTTGGTATGGAAATAAAAAGAAATAAAGAATTTAAAATGATTAAGTAAGAACTATTTAAAACTGAATTAAATGAGAAGATATCAGTGTAATTTCATAATACATTTTATCTTAAAAAGAAAATTTCTAGGGTCAAAAGACATAGGTCAATAGGCCACCTGCATGCTCTGGGATGCTGGGATCAATCCTCAGAATCACACAGTCCCCTGAGCATTGGGTCAAGGTTAGCCCCTCAGCCCCACCTGGTATGACCCAAGAAACAAAACAAAACAAAGAATGAAAAGAAATTGTCTTCTGCCAATGTGAAAGATCCATAATTAAGGCCAGTTCAGAGCACTGAGCACCAACTCAAGATTATCAATAACATGCCCTCAAAACAAAAACAGGATTTGGGTTTTTTTGATTTTATGGTAAGGGTTGTTTCTGCACATAAAGGGATAGGGTGAGAGAAGGACCTGGTGGGGCTCAGGAGTGACCTCTGCTGGTTCTCAGAGGATCATATTAGGGATTCAAACTAGGGTCAGAGAGATGCAAGGCAATGACCTTAACCCCTGTATAAATCTCTCTGGCCCCAGAAACAGAGTATTTATAGAACTCACTGATTACAGGTCCAGGCCAGGAAGCACACAAGATAAACCTGAAATTTGTGACCTAATATTCAGAAAGCAAGTAAGCTACCAGAAACCACTGGGGTTGTTTTTTAAAACACCAATACTAGGTGTTAGGACAAATGAAGCTTCAAATGGAATAACAGTTACAATGGGTTAAAAATGCATCCAATTTTAACTCATTGTAAAAATATGATGTGAATTCATAATGGTTCTGAAAAGCAAAAATAACTTTATTGATCTTCCTTGAAAAATACTAGGGAAACAACTCATTATTTTGAAAACTGGTAAATAAAGAAAGACATTTATCCTGCCTTTCAAATATGAACTGTACCTCACAATAATCAAAATTTTAATGAGGAGATGTTTCTCTTTATAGAAGTTTTAGAGCTAATAAATGAAGAAATAATGATGGTCTTGAATTGAACATCACCTTTTTGCTATCCTTAATGGAATAAAGGATCTAGGCAATTACCATCAGGGGCTGCTAACATGTAAAAACAAGACATAACTGGCTGCAGAAGCCTCTGGAAGAAAGCACAGCACCACTTAGGAATTGTTCTTGCCCAAAAAATTGAACCTGAATCTGCTCAAGTCTCTAGACTTAACTACCAATTCACAGGCACAACACCATGGGGTGCAATCAGAAAACCCAGAGTCTAGGAAACCCTACGGTGCCAACAACTCAGTTTCTTCCTCTAATAACATGGCAGGGGAGGGAGGGAGGGTAAGAAGGAGAGAGAGAGAGACGCAGAGAGAGACTTAAAAATATGAAGAGATTTTAGACACATCAACCAATTGCAATACAGGGGTGCTGACTTGAACCACAGAGGAAATATTCACCAAATATTTGGGGTTATTAAAGTCATTGTTAACAGAAAGCTTTTTTTTAAGTCCTTGAATTTAGAGATATTCAGACATTAACAGATGAAATAATATGCACCTTGAATTTGCTTCTAAATAACCTGGAGTCCAGAAGGAAAAGTGGAGAGGAGGCAAGTGAATGTAAATGAAACAAGATTGGCCTTTATACCATGTGCTAAGCTATGTATTTTTGACAATTGAGACCAGGTGATAAAAATACATGGGCCTTCAAGACCCTACACCATCCTCTGATGAGTTTTGGAGCACCTGCTAGGAGCTAAAAAAAATTAAACTTTATGTGAATTTTTTGTTTTTTGTTTGGGGTGGCCATCCCTGGTGATGCTCAGGGCTTCCTCCTGGCTCTGCCCTACTGGATCACTCCTGGCAGGCTCAGGGATCGAACCCCATCTGTGTGTAAGGCAAGCACCCTACCTGCTGTACTATCACTCCAGCCCTGCTTTTTGTGGCTTAGGTATCCCAAGCCCCATCCCCTACCTCCCACACTCCAACCCTATCCCAACCATACCCAGGCTGGGTGAATTCCACACTCTCTCTGGTCTTCCCAGACACCTAGAAACCCAAGCACTGAGCGCACACCCATCCCCGGGTGGCAGACTCACCTGGACCCCGGTGCCTCTTCTCCATCCATATGTAGCAGTTGTTCTGGGCCACGCCAGTTTGTGAGTCCAGGAAGGGCAGGCGCACGCTGCGCTCGGCACACAGCCTCGAGTTGTAGCTCCGGCAGTGTTCAATGGCTTCCTTGTAGAACTGGTCCCCCAGCCTGCCAGAACACACAGAGAGAAGGAATAAGACCAACAAGAAGAAAAAGCATGGGGAGGGGAAACGGATGGCCCCCACCGACCACCCAGGAAGATCTGAGGTGACAAAGACCAAGGCGGATGACGACTAAGAGATGGCCCAGAGGGAGCATCCAAATGGCCTTCAGGTCCTGAATAGGTTCCCCTTGGATCACGGAGTCTACCCGGACCTGGCCGAACCCCTGAACTAAGAGTGTAGGGCCCCCAGAACAACCAGTGGCAAAAGTGACTCTAGCCCCTGCTGTAGGAAACATGAGTTCCCGCTCTAGGATGCATGTAGAGCTCCATGTAACCTTCTGCATGGGACCCATGAGGCATTAGGCTTCTAAAACCCTCTTAGAAACAATCATAAACCACTCCCTAGGGTTGACCCAGACCACCAGCACAGAGGCTGCTGTTGAAATGAATGAAGAGACCGGCTCCATATTCAGACCAGAAGGGCAAAGAAGACCTCCTGCAAAAGCAGGGCTACCAGGGAGCCAAAGAGAGAACATAGAAGTTAAATCAAGGTGATTTCTCTGTTTGCTCAAACCCTTGTTCGATCCTGGCACCACACAACCTCCAGAGCATTCCTGAAGGTGTCTGTCACCGCATCCCCCATCACTGCCCCCAAAAAGTAGATCTATCACATGAGGAAGGAGTTAGGAGAACACGCAGCAATTGAAAACAAACACATCAACTTAACAAAAAAATATCTTTCTGATGGAGAACAAATAACCACTTAAATAATAAGAGTTGAATTTAGAACTCAAAATAATCCAATCCCCAGCTTTCTAAACACAGAGAGAATGCCCTTTCTGGTTGGCTGGAGGGATGAGCTGATTAAGCACAGTAAATTTGATGTTCCTGGATCTTTGGCATTTGGATATATGGTAATGCTACTAATTTTAAGATGTCCTTTTCAAAGACCAAAATATAACATCGATATAACTGATCAAATGCAAAGCAGTAATAATAATGATAGTCCATGAGTTAATGCCCAAAAGTAGAGAGAGAGTAAGAAGGAAGGTGCCTGCCACAGAGGCAGGGATGGGATGGGAATGGGGTTGACCAGAGGGATACTGGGGACACTGGTCGTGGAAAATGTGCACTGGTGGAGGGCTGGGTGTTCGATCATCATATGACTGAAACTCAATCATGAAAGCTTTGTAACTGTATCTCACGGTGATCTACTTTAAAAAATTAATTTTCAAAAAAAATTAAAACTAACCTTCTTAGTCAAAAAAAAATTGTCCATGAGCTCAAATCTCTAACAAATAGTCATGTGGAGATTAGTCAATGACTCTCAAAAACACACAAATGTCACATAACTTCTACAGGTAAACCTGAGTTTATTACAGGGGACGGCAAGTGGGGTATGTAGAACCACAAAGGTCAAATCACAGGAACTGCAGAGCAGAGGAAGACTCAGTGGCTCATTAGGGGTGGGAGGCAGGGGCAGTAGCATTCGTGGGGCAGTTCCCTCAGTGAAACTTGATAAACCTGACCAGACAGTGCACTGCTCAGACCCAGTGAGATGGTGCTGCTCAGGCCCAGTGGCATTGGGAGTGCTGGGGGTCACCAGCACTACACCCTGTGGTGCCAGAAATAGAACTCAGGTCTCTGAGCCCAGAGCTATCTCCCCAGCCCTCAAGTAGCTCTCACTGTGAATGAACATTATGAATGTCCCTTTGGGTTTGGAAGGGTGTTGTTTGGTTATTTTGGGCCACACCTGGTGCTGCGTAGGGCTTACTCCTGACTTTGTGCTCAGAGATCACTCCTGGCTGGGCTTGGGGGACCACATGGTGTGTTGGGGATTAAACCTGGGCTGGCTGCATGCAAAGCAAGCGCCCTACCCACTGTACTATATCTGACCCCAAACATGCCTGTGTATTAGATCTATGTATATTTGAAAAAGCCAAAATCAGAAAACCCATAATGTTAAAAATAGCATTATTCTAGAGGCCTGAAAGAGTTAAATAGGTTGAGCACATACTTTGCATGCAGGAGGTCTGGGTTCCATCCCTGGCACAACACAGTTCCCCAACCAGAAGTGACCCCAGGCACCACCAGGGGTAGCTCAAAAACAAAAGTAATAATTATAACAATAATAATAGTAGTGTTCTTAATCAAAATATTTAGAAAATAAAGAAAACAATACTTTTTATTTTAATTTTTATTAGTGAGACACCATGAGGTACAGTTGTAGACTTACAAATTTTTGTGCTTGGGTTTCAGTTATACAATAATCGAGTACCCATCCATCCCTCCACCAGTGCCCATTTTCCACCACCACTGATCCAAGTATCCCTCCCACCCACCCCCACCCCACCCCCATCCCACCCTTCCTCTGTGGCAGGGCACTCCCTTTTGTTCTCTCTCTCCTTTCGGGTGCTGTGGTCTGCAAAAGAGGCATTGAGTGGCAATCATATTCAGTCTATAGTCTACTTTCAGCATGCATCTCCCATCCTGGGAGAACCCTCCCAACACCCTTTATTTGGTGCTCCCTTCTCTAACTGAGCTGCCTTTTCCCCTAGCGTGTGCGGCTGGCTTCCAAGCTATGGAGTAAACCTCCTGGTACTTATCTCGGCTATTGTTGGGTGGAAAACAATACTTTCAGTGGATTTTTCTATCCTTTCTTTTTTAAATCAAGCATTAGCATCTACCAGAGTTTATAGAAAATTTCTTTTTCTATTGAAGCTTCTGAGGTATCCTTCAGAAACTGTCTGTTGATATCCCTCCTAAACCTAAAAATGTCCTTTGCTTCTTTTCCACCTCAGAACAGCATCTGTCTCACTGCCAGGCAAACACGCTCAGAAAGTGTCCTGGCAGTCACAAAACCAAGTTGCAATCAAATAGCAATAGTCACACAGCTGGAAATAAATTGGGGAGGGGGAACGGAACCCATTAAAATGCTATAAAACAGAACTGCATCTAAACTAGTGTGATCAAAGTTGGTAACAAGGACCGTGAGATGAATCACAGGAAAAAAACCATTTCCTTCCAAGCACTCACGGGCATGCCGGCCAGCTCCAATGCCCTGTCTGCTGTGGTGGTGCGGATCAGCCTCACAGAACTCTCCGGAACAGTTCAGCCCTGCAGCCTGGCATGTGGCCTGTCCTGCATGCTTTGGACACTCCGGCTTCCCTGCACAGGACAAGGGCTGGTCACAGCATGCTGACAAGTGACAAGACTGTGCAAGAGGAGCCAGAGAGCACTTCTGGGGCTGAGCACAGCTTTGCATGTGGGAGGTCCATCTTCCCTCCTGGCACTGCAGGGTGCCCTGAGAACCCCCAGGAGCAATCACCAAGCACAGAGCCAGGTATAGCTCCTGAGTACTGCCAGGTGTGTTCCCCAAAAGAGAAACTAATGAGAAAGAAAAAGTGTGCATGACAGAAATGTTCAATTTGGGGTGGGGGTGGAAGGTAATATGGTTTTCAACCACCTTCTGACAACCTACAAGACATTACTATTCCAAACCTGGAAATTCTATTGAGGGGGGCCAGAGTGATAGTTACAGCAGGTAGGGCATTTGCCTTGCACATGGTCAACCTGGAATTGATCCCCAGCATCCCATATGGTCCCCCAAACCCTGACAAGAGTGATGCCTGTGCACAGAGCCAGGAGTAACCCCTGAGTACAGCTGGTTGTGGCCCAAACATCAAAAATTATTTTTTTTAAAAAATTAATTTTATGTAAAGTGAATCCCTAAAACCAAGTTTGGGACAAAGGGCAGGAAGAGGAGGGGAGAGGAGGGCAGAGAACAGAAGAAGGGAAGGGAGGGAAGAGAAGAAGAGAGGGGAAGGGAGGGCAGAGGAGAGTGGGGTAGGAGGGGAGAGGAATAGGAGGGGAGGAGGGGAAAGAAGAGGGAGGAGGGGAGGGAAAGGGAAAGGAAGGGAGGAGTTGAGGGAAGGAGTGAGGAAAGGAGAAGAGGGGAAGAAGAGGGGGAGAGAGGGGAGGAGAGGGGAGGGGAAGGGAAGAATTTACACACAGCACCACAGCTCAATGAGTAGAGAGAAGGGACTTTCCATTCTTAAAACAAATTCAGGGCTGAATCCATAGGTCAGTGGATATGGGTAGGGCTATTGCCTTGCACACAGCTGACCCAGGTTCAAATCCCAGCTCTGCCTCCCCCCGAAACCCCCCATTCCCAGGAGCGATCCCTGAGCATAGAGCCAGGAGTAAGCCCTGAGCACCACAGGGCCAAAACAAATCCCCCAAATCTCTGCAAGTTAATACCAAAGATATGTCTAGTAGAATTTCCAATCCAACTCTTCGCAGTGTGCTCCTAACTCCCCACGAACAGTTTCAATTCCAAAGAGTGAACTTGAATAGGAAAGTGACTGCTGCAGAGAAGGGAGGTTGGTCAAATCCATGCCAAGTGGAACAAAAAAGTCAAACAAAGTGACACTCTGAATAAAAATTTATTTCATCTTCAATACTTCCATCATATGCAGTGTTATTAGGAACGGGCCTGCCGAGGACTGTGTATTTTAAAAGTAATCTTTGTGTGAACAAGCCCTCTCTTCCATAAACAGACAGGACGGGGTGTGGGCTGGCACACGCATGAAAGGCTGAGGCTGTATGTCGGGCACCCGACACCGTCCTTACCATGTTATCCGGGAAAGTCGCTTTTAAACAGAACAGTCCTGGGCAGCAATTCAGAAACCGATGTTTCAAGTCTTTTTCAAGGTGTGTGTGTACAGGGGTGGGGAGGGGGGCACGTTGGTGGGGGGCAGAGTAGAAATCTCCACCTCTTTGCTGAATTCCAACAGCACTTCTCCTAAATTTCGTTCACCAAAAGCTTCACAGGATTTGCTCTCCACTTTGAAATAAAAGCAATGGCCAGGTCTCCCTAAGCCAGGAAAAACAATTTCAAACAAAGGAAGGGAGGAGAGGAGAGAACAAGAGAGGAGGGAGGGAGGGAGGGAGGGAGGGAGGGAGGAAGGGAGGGAGAAAGGCGGAAGGAAGGGAGGGAGGGAGG